ACGTTTATATATTAATAGACTGCAGATTATTATGCAAAATCGTATTTCCTGAAACATATTATAAAGAATGTAATCATTTATACAAACTTTTTATTACTAGAATTTCACGTGAGATTTACAAGAAATGTATATAAATTGTTTTATATACATTTTCTCAACATGCGTACTTTCAATAGATACATAAAAATCCGCAGTCTACATATTTAAATTCGTAATAAAAATGTAACTTAAATAATAATCTTCGTGATCATTTGTACTCGACTTCGTAATAAAATGTGAAAGAAATGTGAAGGAATTTAGTTGATTTATTTCAGGAAAACGTCTTTTTATTACAATATGAATTAATTCGGTTTATTTTTTTTTACCTGCTGCTTTTTTCTGTCTCCTCGTTAATCTCTTGTGTGACTTTCTATTCGCCTTTTCCGACTTCGCCCTGCCTTTTTTGTGTTTCGCTATTTTACGATTGTTCATCCACACTGGGTAATTTCCATATTGGTCCAACAAAGTCCTTTTGTTATATATCCTACCATTGCCAGCATCTATTTCCATGTTCTCTGTTTCTGTGTCCTTCTTCTCCTTCGCGGTCTTTATCTTCTTTGCGTCGACAACTTGAAAGAAAGTAAATATTTTATACAAGATAAATTTTCACTCTATTTTATAAAAAAATATGGGCTTACGACATTCGATTTTACATATTTATTTCTCGAAGAATCAAGACACAATTTGTTTTAATGTTTAGTTTAAGATACATTGCTGGACGCTTGGTTTTCATTTAATTCAGAACAATTTTGGTACAAAATTGTTTAAAATCTAAACTACGACTTTTGCTTCATTTTGTAATATTTAGTTTATTAAAAATCGGCATGATCTCACTGAATAATGATTAGAGCTTCTTTGCCTTGATTCTCTAAGAAATAATGATGTACAATCGAATAGTGTCAACCTATATTTTTTACTTAATAGGTAACACATTCTGTTTTATAGCGCTATTGGAGTCTACCCCCTTAAATTTACCAGTAGCAATTTCTGATATTTCCGACATTTCAACGTCTTGCGATTTTTTGTCATTATCATTGATTCCCAACGTTTTCTTCAATCTTTCCAATTCCTTCGCTCCGTAACGTTCTCTTTTAATCGCTCTACACTTCCTCTTCCATTTGCTACGTATCGACTTTGCCATTGTATCTGAAAACGTTGAACACACATTCTCATTAAATTAATAACATAGATAACCTATAAACTTTTATGCAA